GAATAAAACCAAAAAACATAAAAAAAATTAAAAAAAAAACTAAAAAATCCCTAACTATCTTTTGCTGATTTAGCAGCTCCAACTCTTTCTGGACAAGTACGTAAATTGTGTGGAACTCGTTTTCCACATCCTGAACACATTCTATGTTCTTTTTTAGAATTTTCATATGCTACTTCACCTGCACTTGGAATTCTTTTCTTGATTCCAGAACCTTTATTGCTTTGAACTTCAGGAACATGAATATTAATCTCTTCTGGAATAGGAATAGTAACACCCAAAAGCTTGCATACGACTTCACCATCTGTCTTGCTTTTCAATCCAGGAGAAATATAATCACTCTCAAATTCCTTCAACAACATTTGTTGTTTCTCAGCAAACAAAGTCAATCTCTTTTTGTCATCTCTTACAATATCCAAACATGATTCAAAACTATAATATGAATCATTGACTAGCTTTACATTCTCACAATCACCTGAATCGGATTGAACAGAACTAAAACGATAATTTCTTGATATCACATCCTTTCTCCATCTCTTCAAAATGTACCTTTCAGGAATTTCTTTAACACCACATCTCATCATTATTGTAAAAGCATGTCTGCATAAAACACCCATACGCTTAAAATGTTCACAACTGCAATTTATTTCTTTCTCTTCAGCTTTTATTTCAACCTGATACAAAAACAAAATTTACACATTTACATTCATATAAGAATACTCATATCAACACTCATATATTCATATATTCATATAATATTCATATATTCATATATGAATATTGATATTCATATATGAATATTCTCATATTCATATATGAATATTATTACATTTTTCATAAAAAACTAGTAAAATTACCTTAAATTCATTTTTAAAATCACTTTTACTGTTGTTGTGCTGCACAATGTAAACTTCCCAACCATCTTCAATACCAACATATGAGTATGTACAGAAAAAACATGCTTTATATATTTCTTTTTGCACCTCAAAAAATAATGTACTTGTATAAACCTTTGATGCTTGCAGTTCTATTTCTCGAGGTGTTTGCATTTTATATGATGCTTTCTTTGATGCCTTATCAAGCTCTCGTTGAGTATTCCTTTGCTTTTGAATGGCAGTGTCGTAATTCATCATGAAATTCAAAAGTAAGTTCCCACTTTCTGAGTATGTATTAAAGAATGAATTCATACTCTCTGACCTCGATGTAGTCTTCATCAAACCACACATTGGAATATCACTAAAATATCCAGGTATCCATGAATCACGTATTGTAAACATGTCTTTAAACCATCTTGTGTCTTCAAGATTGAATTCCTTCATAAGCAAACCCCACTTCACCTCAAAAACATCAGGTTTCATATTAATGTCCCAAACAAGCTTCAAAAACATTTTTCTAAAGTCTGTGTTCGTAAATAAATCATCTGATATCTGTATTAAAACAAAAATATTCATAAATGAATAAATAATAATAAGTAAAATAACAATCAATATTCATAAATGAATATACTAATAAGTAATATATTTGAAATATATTAAAATAATACCTTTTTTTTCAACGTTTTCATTATATGCCACATACATAATCGGTGCTTTGAATTACGAAACACATTCTCAACAGCTTGTTTTATTGCAGCATCTTGATCGGTTAAAACAAGTGTTGGTTCTTTCCCATGAGTTTTAAGAAATGCTTTAAGCAACCAAGAGTAAGACTCAATGCTTTCATTGCTTAGCAACCCAGATCCAACAGTAACCGATTTTTTATGATGGTCAATAGCAGTAAACGAAACAAAAACCATTCGATACCTAACACACAAAAAAAATGTTCATTAAAGTTAATTTTTGATGTATTAATAAGTGAATATAAAAATATTCATATATGAATAAGCTATAAACAAAAGTAGATAAAATAACTTACTTGTTTGTTCGGAAAGTCGCATCAAACGAGATAACATCACCAAATTCAGCATAATATGCCTTCTCCATTTCATCAGCCCAAAACATACAGTCCAAAACATCATCTTGACAATTAAACTCAAATGAGTAATTTGGATAGTGAGCTCGACGGTCATTCATTGTGTTTACTATCATTTGGGCATCTTTATAACCAATAACCCTGTTGATACCTCTCCTTAAATTTTTATAGTCAACTACTTTGGGCTTTACAAACTCATACCCACCTCTCAAACTTGCCCTCAACTTATGAGCCATAGTTGGACCTATTTTTGATGTGGAAGCACGCGCAATAAACTCTTTTTCTGAATATGACATTTGTCTCGCTTTTTTTAAATCGCTTCTCTTCTCAAGTGGATGGTTGTGAAGTTCATCAAACTGAAAAACTTTATAATCTGGAGTTCCATACACAGATTCAAATATAATCTTTGCTTGACAACCAATAGCTCTTGAATTTGAATTTCGTTTCCTCCTAACACCACTTGTACCTAATGTGTCACAAGATTTCTTTTTCTGTTTACCACCACGATTACATATAACATGTTTCTTCTTTATAATCTTGTTATCAAACCTTGACTGTGTGCTCAGTCTAACATCAAAACCACCAATTTCAGCATACTCAGAATACATTTTGATAGCCAACTTTAATGATTTGAAGATTAAACCCTTAAATGGAATAAGTTGAACAGGTACATCTGGCTTATAGACATGTTCTCCAATTATATCATCACAATATTGCGCATCATGTACTAAACTTGAAGATTCACCACCTAAAATTATAATGCATGAATAAAACAATAATATATATGAATACATGAAACTCATATAAATAAAACAAAAAACATTCATATATGAATAAAACATTCATATATGAATACATAAAATTCATAAGGATTCAAAATATATAAAATAAAACATAACTTATTCATATATGAATAAAACGAAAAAAATAATAAATTCGAAATTACAATTATCACACGTTTATTCATATATGAATAAGACAACAATTTATTCATATTAACATATTCATATGTAAATAAATGATAATCAACAAAATTAAAAACAACAAAATAATTCAATAACTGATACCTTCAAAAAATGAGTTCTCAACATCTTCTTCACTCTCACTCATAGAAGAATACAAATCATCATCAATAACACTAGAATTCGACATGATACACCAAATGATCTATATAAATAAACAAAAACAATCTTAATATCGAATATATCGAATATATCTCACAAAAAAAGTCGTAAAGATGAAAACCTGGTTAATTTCGAATATATCTCACCTCAACGTACAAAATATCTGAAAGAAACTTAAATCATATATGATCAGATGATGTAATTAAGCAATCTCTCTCAGTACAGAGCGTAAAAACTACAACGATATATCCGATTAAAAATTAAATCAGCTCCGATTTGAAATAAATATCTCAAACTACTTAACAAAAACCCGATGAAATAACTCCAATACATATTCGAAACTTGATAATCTTGATAATGAACTCCGATGAAACAACTCCAAAATGAAGATAATAAGCGTAATTCCAAACAAATTATAAAAAGCAATAATCTTGATAATGAACTCCGATCTATCCGATTCAAACGATATACATACCTGATCAAATCGGAAACTGAATACGAAGTAGAAAACTGAAACACAGATGCGAAACTTCACGATTAATGGAATGAATACGTATAATTGCTAACGAGTTATATAAAGAAAATAATCTTGATAATGAATTCCTCATATCCGATTCAAACGAGCTAAAGATATCATCAAATTGGAAACTGATAACAACGAACAGTTAAGTTCTATGTAAAAAAGTTGCTAATTTACAAAGATACCCTTAATGAAAATGGACACACGTATTTTTTTTTTAATTTAAACATGTTAGATAAATGATTGGCTGAGAATGATTCCCCCATTCTCAACCTTTTTTATTTTCTCAATTGAACTTACCTCTATATATATATATATATATATATATATATATATATATATATATATATATATATATATATATATATATATATATATATATAAAGATGTTTATGATTGAACAAGTTTTTTGTATATAAACATTTACAATTTAAATGGTTTAACCAGGCAAAAAGAACTCATATATATAAAAAAAATATTAAAAAAAGAACAAAGAAATGTAAATACAATATTTAATTAAAAAAATAATATATAAATACGATTTTTCTGCATTGATATGTGTAATATGAAAAAAAAAATACTTAGGGTAAAAGTGTAAAAAAACTTATAAACCTAAAGGTAAAAACGTAAAAACTGTAAACTTAAGGGTTTTTTTTTTGTGAAGTTTATATAATGGTAACCTGAAAAATATGTGATTAAAATGGTAAAAGTGAACATTTTTTGAAAAATATGAGGGTAAAAACGGATATTAAATTCTACTTTGGATAAAATCGACAAAACCCTGAAAACTTAAAGGTTTTTATGAGATTAGCCCAAAAAAATTATTGTTCAATTTGGTGATTTCATTTTTTTCTTGAATATATGCACGTCTCCAAATTTAATTAAGTTTCAGCTGCTAGATCCATATAGGAGTCCTCATCCTTATATACAATAATTTTTTATTTTTTATTTTTTATTTTTATTTTGTTGTATCTTTAAGCGATACAAATATATTTCATTGGTTGCCATATATAATATTGCATTGGTTGTTAAAAAATATTATAAATTATTAAACCGACAAAATCAAAAGCTCCTACATTAGAAACAACTTAGAGACCAAGTAAACAGATTTAAAGAAATATCTTTTAGACAAACATTACAAAATTGTTATGTAAAAAAAATTGTATGAAAAATATTACCTTTGGAAGCAAGTAAAATAATATTTTATTTAATATTAAAAATATAACTAAGCACTGACTTTAAGGAAGATTCTTAGTAGAATCTAAATAAGGTATGTATGTGTACGATGAAGACTCCTAAAAGCCCAACACCGCCGAAAGTACTACTTGATAAGCACATAGTACAACTTCTGTTGTTTATTTAAAAACACACATCTGGCCATTCTTTCCATGCTACAAGAAGACGAAGGTGGCGGTGATTGTTCATTGTTACCACCTATGAAGAAAAGGCGAGAAGAAGAAATGGATCCGATCTCTGATCTTCCCGACCCCATTGTCCACCACATCATGTCATACCTTCCAACCAAAGACCTCAAAAACATTTCGATCTTGTCCAAGAGATTTTTCTTCCTATGGACCTCGTATCCCATCATTGATTTCGATGAATCAACGTTCAACTTCAATCGGCCATCTCAAGGTACGTCCGCCTCTATAACGGATGAATTTATGGATCACATTCATAATTCGATTCGGTTGCGTAGAAGTAGAATGGATTATACAGCTATATCTGAATTTAGGGTTAACGCTAATCTGAAAGGAATATCCGTTGATCATAGGTTGGATTCCGCGATCTCCTTTGCACTAGAAAATGGGGTTAAGTTAATTGATCTTAATTTAGGGTTTACAACGTATCAGTTTCCTGTTTCTTTTGCTTCCAGATCGATTAATGTATTGAGGTTAACAGGGTTAAAGTTAGATCCATGTAACCTAATTCTTTCGTGTCCTTCTTTGAAGACTTTGTCTCTAACTTCATGTGAAATCTTACGAAACATCGAGTTTTACAGCCAAACCCTTAGAGAAATCGAGCTTCATTGTTGTGTTGTTGAGTTTATAAAGATCAAGGCTCCAAAACTTCATTCGTTTTCCTTTGATTCGGGCACGAAAAACCCTAAGCCTTGTAAGATTGATGTTTTGCAGTGTCAAAACATCGTGTATTTTTCATTAAACAATGTTGTAAACGGTCTTGATTGGGTAGAAGAACATACATCCACATTAGGTACACTTAAAACCTTCATTCTCAATGGATGTGAAGACATCGAAAACATTCATGTTTGGAATGAGAAAGTAGAAAGAGTTGAGATTGGAAATTGCCCATTACTAACTTCGATCAGTGTTATGGCACATTCCCTTGAATCTTTTGAGTACAAAGGGAGTACTGATGATGATCACAGGATTTCCAACATTAGTTTGATAGCTTCAAGATCCATCAAAGATCTGTACATAGAGAATGCAGTCATTACGGATGAATGGTTAGAAGCTCTAGTTTCTACATTGTGTTGTCTCGAGAGTCTAAGGCTCAAGGGTTGTAATTCCTTGAAGAATATTGTGGTTTTTCATGAGAAGCTTCGGATTCTTGAGTTAGTAAACTGCCTTGATTTAAAAGAAGCCGAAATTGACACACCACAATTGGTTTCGTTTGTGTATTTTGGGAATATGATCGAGTTTGAGAAGATGGTTACTCGAAGTATTTGTACTGCAACTCTATCTATAAAACCATGGATTTCTTACAACAATGAATCATTTTATGGATGGAGGAAGTTGCTTTCGTTTTTTGGTCATTGCAAGGCTTTGAAATTGATTTGCAATTGTGAGAAGGTATGCTCCTTACTTCGTCTTCTTCTTCATCAACATCTTCATTAATTCTTTCTCGAGTTCCTGATTCTTAAATTTTGGTTTTGAAGTAGATGTTTATATATAGTGTAGGGATTTTTGTAGCTAATAAAATTTCTGTTTCTTTGTGTGTGATTTAGGAACTGATGATGCCTGAAGATTTGAGGGAGAAATTACTTCCACCATTGTATGATCTTCAATGCTTGGAAGTAGAAATAAAATCATTAGAGAGAATCGAAACAGATCTGGTGGACAGCTTGCTATGGTTTTCACCTCTTCCAAACACGATAAGTTTATTTGCTGCTTCTTCATCACGTTCCCAGCTGCAAATGATCATGAAGGTAACAACACATTCTCATATTTCATTCACTCTTTACTAATCATATTTTTATATAATCGATCAAATGTCATAGTTTTTAACAATAAGCAAAGTATGACCACTAATTTTTTTTGAACAACCAGGAAATTTTACTTGATGGATGAACAAATAAAGTATGATTATTATTTAATTATACCATTGTGATAAAAAGCGTTTATTCTTCTAAATTAATGTGGAGTTGTTTTATGCCCATATAAACAAATGAAGTATGATTAATAGTTTAATTTTTGGCATATACATCAACCTCTCTTACCAATTATCAGCTGCAATGTTTTTTTCACATAAAATTTTGAGTATCTTCTTTCACTTTCTTTTTTTGCATTCTAAACAAATAGTTAAAGTAGAGTTAACTAGCATGGTTAATTGTCTTCATTAATGACACATTTTTTCTACATAACATACAGTTTGTGTATGATGAGACGATCAAAGAAGAAGAAGAAAAAGAAGTAGAAGAAGAGGATAAAAAGAAATTATGTTGCAAAAGTAAACCTGTAAAATGCTGGAGGCATAACTTAAGGAGGCTGGATATTCAAACAACGGATGTCTCTCCCAAATATGGATCACTCAAATTGCAGAAATATTTTCTTACCAATGCTATGATGTTGGAGTCTCTTTCTTTCAATATAGGTTTCAATTAAGCTTCAAGATTTCAATTTCTTTTGCTTTAATTAAGGTTGATGATAAATTTGTATGTGTTTCTTTTTTCTTCTCATAAGATCCTTAATCCCAACCTTTAAGATGTTGGTTTGTGGAAATTTTAGACACCCCAAAGTAGTTTGATATAAAAGATTTGGTATATCTTTGTGTATCAATACCTAGTAAATGAATAAGTTCAACTTATTGCACCTCATGGGATATTGTTTTGATACAAATTTAGCTATCAAAATTCAATATTTAAAGTTTTACATATATGGTTTTGAACTACCCTAGTTAGGTGGGGTATACATGTGTTCATCGAAAAAATGTTTAACTATGAATGATAAAAAAGATTTAATAGCGGTCATACTATATATGCTAAATATTTATAAAAAGATAACTGATAAAAAAATATCATATAACGTAATGACACACCTTGAATTGATATTTGTGATTAAATAATAAGAATCTCGATAAAGTCGTGTGAACTTAACCATTAATTATAGAGTACTAGTTTATAACCCATGAGAATCATGGTTATAAAATTAATTAAACTTTCATAGTAAAATCTTAAAATTATTAATCAATTATTTCAAATAAATTATTAATTAAGATATATATTTTTTTAGATATATATTTTTTTAGTTATATAAAATTATAATCGTTGATTTAAATAAATACATGAAATTATATCACCTTATCATGTATATTAATTTTATTTTAGTTTTTATTCTAGTGTTATTAATTTAATGTACTTAGAATGTGAAATTTAAAATGATGAACCAATTATTAATTTAATGTAATTAGAATGGGAAATTTAAATTTTAAAATTTAAAATTTAAAGTGGAGAATTAATAGGATGGCATGTGGTATGATAGTAAGCATATAATATTAACAAGTTGTGAGACTCATATATTACATGGGTTAATTTAAAAAATAAATAAATATGAAGGTTTAAATATTTGTGAACCTTGGATTTATAAGAAAATAAGAAAAATAATATATTATAAAAATTGAAATGTTTTTTTTAATCTTTTAAAGTTAAAAAAAATTAAATAAATAAACAAAAGAAACTAATGAACTTTCATTTATGAATTTCAAAATTAGAAGGTAAATCCATTAATGAAATTGATATCAATTTATTGCTACATTTATTGTAATTATTACATTAAAATATTATGTGGAATTTAATAAAATCAAAAAACCCATAAAATGACATATGGAAAAAAAATTAAAATAACCACAAAATGACATTTGGCAAATTGAATGAGAATGTAACATGTGGCAAAAAAAACATTCATTTATTAGAGTAGATAATTTTTATTATTGTAACACTTGTTAATAGGAAAATAAAATTACTCATTTATTAGAATAGAGATTATTATTAGGGTTTATAATGTGCAACACAATTTTTTTTATCGAAACTCTACATTAGTTAAACTTAAACAAACTACAAACCATACCACAAATTTACTTCTACAAACATAATAATACTACTAAGAAATTATATAGAAAACTTAATGAAAAAACCAAAAAAATCAATACCATAAAACTCTGTTTATCGGTGAACCGGAGATTTAAGACTATTTATTGTTGAATTAAAGTGCTTATTTGGTCTTTTTTTTACAAGTCATTCTTTGTTGTTATGAATTTAAAGCATCACCAATAGTTAACTGACGCTAAGACTTAATGTAACGTCGTGAAAATTCAAACCAATTTTTCATTTTCAATTCATAAAAACATATATCATATTGTTCAACTCCAAATATTCATTTAACAAAGTTTTCAAATCATCACATAAAATCCAGGATCCACAGTAGCTCTTCCCAAAACATAATGTGTGTGTACAATCATGTCGGTGCCTTCCCGCGATCCTCTGAAGTACCTGAAACACATATCACATAAACGGTAAGCACGCATGCTTAGTGAGTTCCCCAAAATACCACGTACATACAACTAGCCACTCGAGGCTATAGCTCTACGAGACCTTCCGGTCAATGTGTCTCAGGGGCCTTCCAGTCCCACAATCTGAGAAGACCTTCCGGTCCTACTCTGTCGACCTTCCGGTCCATACCATATTGACCTTCCGGTCCATACACTGCTGACCTTCCGGTCTATACACTGTTGACCTTCCGGTCCACACCCCGTTGACCTTCCGGTCCATATCATACTGACCTTCCGGTCCATACCATGCTACTCATAACATACATAACATATACATATCACATAGAAACATATATCACATACTCGTCATAGCACATAAGACCTTCCGGTCACACATAATTACCACTCTAGGTAAGGTATAGTGAGAAGACTCACCTCGTATGACGAACAACCTCTAGAAATGCTGCCGCTATACTAGGTTCTCTAACTCTGTGCAAAAGCCCACAATTACCCCAATTAGGAACTAAGTCCAACTCTCACTCTTTAGGTCTAATAATAGCCCACTGACCAGCCCAATAATGACCTAAACCCATTGGACCCACCGAGGCCCAATCCTCAATCTAAGTGGCGGTCCCAACACTAGATAAACTTCCCAAGTCCACTAACGGCCCACTTTGCTAAACTGGGCCCACTCCCTCCAATGGGCTTCACCCCAAGCCCAAATATATCCTTGGCCCATAACTTCAGACTATTGATGGCCCAATAGCTCAAGGCATGGCCAAAGCATGGCCCAAAACACAAAGTCCAACACAGACAAGTTACACGAGGTGTACACCTATGTACGCTAAGCGTACCGACTCGATGGCGAGTACGTTGGGCGTACCTGCACGTACGCTCAGCGTACCCTTCCTGTTAAGCCCTTTTTCCATTAAGTGCTTGTTACTTCATTCCAGAGGCCACAAATTTAGATCCAGGTCCTTATTATCCTCTTAACCCTTAAAGTCATAATCTTGGTGACTTGCAATCCACCAAATAAGCTCAAACTCAAAAGGCATCAACATACTTCCATAACAAGGGCTAGATATCATGCATGAACTCATTAGGACCATCAAGATTGAAACTTTACTGCTTATGGGACCCTTTTAGCTCTGAGGGTGGCAACCCTAAGCTCAAAAATGAGATTCCAACATAAAGGTCCAAACTTGGGACCAAAACAACTCCAAAACTTCACTACACAAGATCTATGCATTCTTAAGTAAAGTTATGGACTTTATACCTCAGAAGAGCTCCAAATGATGATGACATTCCAAAATCTAAGAGCTCCAAACTCCCAAGTTCTTCTTTGCCAACTTCTTCTTTTGAAAAACCCAAACTTACATCACCAAAATAACCCTCTTGAAGACCAAATCACTCAAGGTTGAAGATATGAGACGTTCCAAGGCTTCTCTGAGGTTGGGGAAACAACATGGAGGCTAGGGTTAGAACCAATATGTTCTTTATATATTGACACACCCTAAATTTAGGGTTTCTGGGCTCTGGACGTACGCTGGGCGTACGCCAAGGAGCACCCGCGACCATTTCCCTTATACGCTGGGCGTAACCCAGCCTTACGATGGGCGTACCCACGCGCTTCCATTTCACATGCATGGCCTTCCATGCCAACTTTTCTCCTTAAGGGACCATTTATGCCAAAAACTTCCAAGCGTCATATCTTCCTCACCCGATGTTCGTTTTCGACGAACTTTATATCCACGAAAAGATAACGAGAAGTTCTACACTTGAATCAACTTTATTTCTCCTAGATCCCACTCGAACTCAGATCCAAAATTCATGAAAAGCCGAAACCAACACTTGTCGATATCCTTGGGACCTAAAGCAAAATCCGAACCCCTTTCTCACACAATACACCTTATCCATATCCAAGAAGGCCTAAACATATCTCCTTCAAAATCTTGAAACCTTCTCATATTCAGATTACGGCCCACGGGTCTTGAATTGCAAACAATCTGAAACAAGATGTTACAATTCTTCCCCACTTAATTTAGATTTCGCCCTCGAAATCGATCCTTTTCTTCGCATAGCTCGAAACAAGTAATCTGGGATGCACAACCGGAAAACCTGTTAACATTCAACGATCCTTCTCTCAAGACAACCGAAACCAAATAGAAATTCCCAAGCCGAAGAAGGACGGACCCCTTGCACACCCAATATGATAACTTTACAACCCTCCTGCTCGCAATAGCTACCTCAGCTCATCGTGACGCACAAGTCACGTAGTTGGTTTTACCCCAAGCGAATACTACAATTTATCTGATATCGTCTTACCTTCGACCTCTGCCTTCTACCATCCACTGATTCCATGCGTTTCACGGTTCTTCCCATACCGACGAGCTAACTCACTCTGGTTTAATACATCTGATGGAGAACAATACTTCTCAAAATGAACCCATCTACGAATTCGACACCTCATCTTGCCTACTAAACACACGAACGAATCCAGACTCAAGCTCTAGAGTCGGATTCAACAATAGAATTGGGTCCACTAAATTCCAATCTGATACGCAACTCATGATCCAAGATTCGCAATCCACGCGTACACCACTTCTTCAATTCCCTTCGGTTGCGATAACCATGACTCAACTCAGAATATAGCGATTCCTGACAAATATGGAGACCTTGGCCTCGCCCCTGGTCCAACCACCAGGCTCCCAAAACTCAATCATTAGGGCTACCCAAGCCTAAAACCCTTCTGCGTCATGCTCTGACTAGTGAGTACTACGGCTCCCCGTAGTATCACAACACCCTCTCGCTGACTAGTGAGTACTACGGCTCCCCGTAGCATCACAACAACCTTTCACTGAATAGTGAGTACTACGGCTCCCCGTAGCATCACCGCAACCTCTCACTGAATAGTGAGTACTACGGCTCCCCGTAGCATCACCACAACCTCTCACTGAATAGTGAGTACTACGGCTCCCCGTAGTCTTACCGCACTTGCTCTTACCACTTCACAATCTCATCCTCTGTTCGACGCCGCACGACGATCATTAACTCATGCCCTGCGGACCAACCATAGATAGGTGTACACACTTACCCAAATTATGAATTTCTATTTATG